AGAGAACGACTTCAGAGCTAGGAAGGCTGTTCTTTCAAAGTTTCAGAAATACAAGGAAAGAAATACTGATGGAAGAAGAAAAGAACATTGAATGAAAGCTACAGAATTTTATCAAAACAACACAGTCTAGATGCAATCACCCAACTAGCGGAATTAGAAGAGGGTTAAGAGGAAAATAAAGATAAATGTGAAATGGTTAAGATCAACCAAGAAGACGGGGCACTGGAATGTGTAGATTGGATCTTACCACTGAAGTGAATAAATAAAGCGATTTAGAATATAATGACCTTATAGAGATGTTTCTGTCAAATTTCTTAAACATATGTCAACATGCTTATTAAAAAAACATTAAAAAGAAAATCTGAAAGCTTTCAAATTTTGTTACCTTTATTTGTTAAATATCATGTTCTTCCCAGATAAATAACATAAAATTCAGTTCAACAACAATATCGCAAAATATTTAAAAACAGCATATCTTAAGAATTTCCGATACACAGTCTTGCGTGATGGAGATAATTTTTTTTTTTTTTCCAAACAGTGTGCCATTGCTCGCTTTGAAATCGTTGAGTTTGTTAATCAAAAATTCGTTGGTGTTTCACAAAATATGAAATATCTACATATAATAAAAGAAAGAGTCTGTCTGTGTGTCTTTCGTTCGTGCTGCACGTAAGCTAACAGATCCAGGGCTACGAAATTTGATATATAGGTGCATCTAGGCAAGAGCCGGTGCACCTCGAAGCGATTGTTTTCAAAATTCGAATTAGATTTTTTTATTATTATTATTTTATCTTTTCGATTTTATCGCATCATTTTGAACAGTTTCATTCTTTTAGAAATGTGGTTTTGGCAACAGTTTTTCATTCAATACTTTGTATACTGGACTGTTGACTGTTGAAAATATGAGATAAAACGCTGCTTTTTTTTATTTTGATTTTTTGGACACGCAACACGCACATCGCAGTCTTCTTATTCTGAAGCGCGTGTGTCTCGCGAGGCACAACAGAAAGAATTTCCTTCTTTTCTCTCTCTCTTTATTAGTTATTGTCAAGAGATTTGTATATTTTGAATTACATCCTCCACAAAGAACAATTTTGATTGGTTATTGCTTTCTAATGATAGTTTCATTCTTTTAGAAATGTGATTTTGGCAACAGTTTTTCATTCATTGCTTTGAATACTGGACTGCTGACTGTTTTTTCTTGAAAATATGAGATTTATTGCTTATTTCACTGTAATTTTTTTATATTTTGTTTTAATTATATAAAAAGTTTTGCATGATTTTTTTAGGAAACAAAATTCTTATTTTCCTTTATATCATTTCAATTCTTAAAATTTTGCAATGGGAAGGTGGTTAATTTATTTATTAGGATAATTAATATTTGCATTAAGGGATATTGCTTATTTCATTGTAATTTTATGTATATATATATATAATACATTTTATTGAAATTTGTGGTGATTTTTTTGAGGGGGGAGGGGAAATAAGTTTTTTCTGCAGAGAAAATTCTGTGCAGCTTTTAAATTTAATGTTTGGTGTTCACTTTAGGCATTTTCTCGGTACATTTAAAAACCAGAAGCAGGCTGAACGCGTAGCGACTAGTAGACAATTAAAAAAATTCAAAATTCGAGCTCGCAGTTGCCCATGTTCGGGTGGAGGACATGGGAAACGACATTTTTACATGGGAAACTAAAAAAATCCATGCAATTTTATTATTATTTTAATTAAAGAGTATATGCTATATTTGCTATTTAAAAATCTTTGAAAGCTTCTTTTTGCTTTCAATACACGTACAAAAATTACAGTTTTTCAGGGATGTTTCCGTGTTATCCATGCTTACAGATATTCGCATAATTAATATGTATAACCGAGGATTCGATATACTTTCATGTGTATTTGCTCTACGGTTTTATATGCAATCCTAAAAGTTTTAAGCATTTAATCTCATTTTCTTTGCTGTTTTAAACTCATATTAGCACAACCATTTTTCCACTGGAATTTCGTTACTAAATGTCTTCCCAATTTAATATCAGTTTAAAACTTAGAATTATGAATTATCGCACAAATACTTTTGCTTCAGCTTGAAAATATTTTACCTGCTTAAATCTTATGAATATTATCTTTTTCAAATGACACGAAAGATCGAAGTAGTCGTCGAAGAAAAATGAAGTACGCATCTAGTTTCAGCGGAAAAATATCCCAACAAATATCGTCTTGCACTCAATTTTTCCATACTTTCCTTCGCTAATGAGTTCTTAATTAATAAATATGCTCTCATTATTCTCAAAATGGGGAACCAAACAGCGAGAGATCTGATGTTTCACCGGAAATATGAGACTTCTTAGAATTTCTCAGAATATACAATAATTCTAGATCTCATGCTTTTCAAATCAGTTTCTTTAATTACTAATTGATAAAGGTTTTTTTAAATCAAAAAGGGGAAAGGAGAATATCACGTTACATGATTAGTTCGTTAAACTGCATATATAATTTTCATTTCTCAAACGCATTCTTTTCTTCCCGGATTTATTTCCCTTTGCTGAACAAAGAAAATCTTTATGCGCGGAGAAATGCTTATTTACGTAAGTTAAATTACTGCTAAATTTCAAATAAACTACAAATTGGTGCATCACTGATTGGAAAGGAATTAGAACAGAATTTTTAGGCCTTCTATTATAAGTGTCCGAATAGAAGAACAAAAGGGGCACTTCCCTTCCTTTGGAATCAAATAAAATATGTGTTTTTAGTACTAATGCATGCACAGTCTATGTGTTTCGTATTAATACAATTTTCTGTTCAATGAGTTGTTAACAACTTATATGGCATTTTCTCCCTCCTTTGTGGTGTAACGGTAGCACACTCGACACGTATTCGAGAGATTCAGATTCGAGTTCCGACGAGGCCGTTGCGCATTTTTCACTTCCCCAGCATCAAAAAACCGTAATGACTCTACAGTGGCGCCCGAACTGAAAAATGGTGGATGATGATTCTTCATCACCAGGATTTGGCCCCCTAATCCCCAGTCGCCCTTTAAAAGGGGGAGTATATATAAGGTATTTTCTCCCTCCTTTCTGCATGCCTTCTTGGTGTAACGGTAGCACACTCGGCGTAATTGAGAGGTCCAGGTTCGAGTCCCGGCACATTTTTCAAGTCTCCAGCTTCAAAATAACCTAATGACTCTAGAAACTCTGCAAATTAAATAATTAAATAAAAATTCATTGACATAATTATTTATTTCTAATCCTCATGGGGTGGAAAAGAAAGTTTTCTTCAATTGGAATTTTTTTTAATAGATCAGGAGATCTATCCATTTCCATAGATTGTAATGAAGTACATAAAAAAAAACTCTTTAAATTATACGATTTTAGTCAAATGCTCTAAGGCATGAAAAATAATTTTTTCAGTTACTACAAACGTAATATAAACATAATATAAAAAATAAAATCGTAGAAATGCTAAAGATGAAATAGAACATAGGCAGATAATAAATCAAAATTCTCAAAGAGAAATTTAAGAAAACTAAATGCAATCATTCTTACACATTACATCATTTTTCTGTATTCACTTCTGTTTCTTGAAATTCTTTTAATGTTTTTAATACCATTTGGATATATGAATGCCACAATTTTGTTTTTAAGTCATAGATAACTAAGAAGATTATGACAGTTAATTTTGCTTTTTTTTTTTTTTTTTTTTTTTACTCCACTTAAGCTGTGTAACTTTAAAAAGTTTTTCTTTTCATTAAATATTCAAATTATTTTTCAATTTTTAGTTACAGAATGTAAGAAAAGTAGTAAATAAAGAAGATCACTGCCTCTGAAAGTAAGAAATTTATTCTAAGCATATATTTGATTTAAACTTTTGTTTAATTTAGAAAGCTGATTTCGTAATTTATTAAACTTACGATGCTGCTGCTACAATTATGCAAGTACACAATGGTCGAAAAAAATTGAAAACTTTTGATCGAAATTTTATCATGATTCATTTCCCCTTTACCCATGTGATTAAGAATAAGACTAACGTTTTGTGGACTGTAGCTTTATTTATTTACACAAACACTTGAAAATAGAAGAAATATCGTCCACGTGACGACAATGCATTTTTCGATGCACAAATCACTCAAAGTGCTGTAACAATAAAAAAAAGAATAGAACGCATTAATACATACTTGACAGGTTCGTTACCATAGCAACCATAATTGAATCATGATGCGTATGCGCCATCTATTGTTGCCAAGGCACACTAGAAATTTTTTTGGTAACAAAAAAAATACCTTTGTGTTGCCTCCTACACTTGCCTCCTACGCGGCAAGTTATATACAGCGCATTGTTTCTGCGCAACTTCAGTTAGTTAAGATTCGAACTCCTAGCGTAGCATACAGGTTTTGATCCCGTATGGTCGGGAATTAATCATTTTCGATTTAGATATTTACTTATATTTACAGTCCACGAAATAAAATTGGCTGTAGTTGTTGTAAAGTTGTCTATAGTATACAGTCTAACCAGCGACCTCGTGAATTCGCGATAAGAATTCATTGCTATATAATTTCAAATATGTACCAAAAGATTGCTCTTGAATATTAAATTGATGCAACAAATACACTTTCGTCTGGCGGCAATGCAATAGTCTAGAAATGCAGGCACGTACCTCTTTACACAGAAAAGAAATACAGATGATTTTGACACATAAAATAATAAATATAGCATGTATTTTCTCTGTTAAACGAGGGAATTTTTTGTTGTTGTTGTTGTTGGAAAATTTTTAGTTCGAATTAACTCGAAGTGCTAAAAATTTAATTCGAATTAATGAGCTATTCTTAACATTAATTCCAATACGAATTTTGAGGGATCCTCAGTTCGCATTAACCGATTTCGAATTAAAGAGCGTCCACTGTATAGTTTGCAATCAGATTTTTTCTTCAAAACATTTAGTTTCACATTTCAGCTGTTAATTTGGGCTTTCCAGTGAAGTAAGAGCAAAATATTGTTAAAAGACCGTCTTACCTTGTTATTCGGGTAGGTTCCATCTTTGTCCATGGCTTGTACTTGAGTTACTTTAGTACCAGGTGGCATGCCTTCAAGAACAGTTTCTTGTTCTCGCTCAATGAACAGAGGAATTTCGTCATTCACGTCTTCCAAGACGATGTAAACTGTGGCCTCGGAAGCCAGTTGTTGGACACCATTATTCTGAAACAAACACGGACTGATCAGTTTTCATATGCTTATATTTACAAATATAATGCCTCAACTTGCTTTTGCTTTCTATTTCATTGTAAGAAATTTTATTTACTGTTCTGGTTTCCAATAAGAATTTACTTTTCCACATTAAAATACATTTATCCATCTTCAACCACGGAAATACTGTCGTTATTTTTTTAGAGTATTGTTTTTCAGTTTAAATTCCAGGACAATGATGCAAAATCAAGAAAGTCATACATTATTATAAAACAGAAATATCCTTTTATAAATCATACAAATACAATGAACCTGTCGTAGCGATCACCTCTCGGAGAAGACCAACTTCAAAAGTGATAGTATTTTTGACAACATGAATAAATGTCTTAATAAATAATTACAGCATTCTTCTAAACGACGCCAACTTTCCAACACAATCAAGACCATTAAATACGCAAATGGATTTGTCAGTTTACGCATCAATGAAGAACCCAAATGAGAAAGTACGATATGCCTTAGGCCGCCGAACTAAAGTGAGCCGAAAGCCTCTTCGATCCCTCCAAACCTGAAAAGTATTCATTGAACTGAAAGTACATTTTCAGCGATGTCACAAGATTTGCGATTTTTATTTCACGCCCATATACCCATATACCATATTAAAGAAAGGTCTGTTACAAAAGCAGGGCAGATCATTTTTTAATTTCCATATATATGACACTAAATTCGATATTTTGAATTTAATCACTGGCAAATACGGTAATTTGTATTCAGTAATGCTTTTTTTGCATTACTGATTTGCTTTTTTTTTTCAGTCAGTTTTCAATAAGTAACACCTCAGTTTTATTTCTCTCACTATTTTTTAATTCTGACGAGAGCGTATTTTCAAGATATGTGCATGCCTTTGAAATAGTTATTCGATAATAAAAATGCTTTTATGAGGAGAAAGATTTTCTTCTGTTCTTTCATGTCCAAAACATCCAGCTGAAGGGATTACTATGCAACACTCGTTTCGGCGATTCCCCTCCCCTATAAGAAATGTAAACTACATAACTCAACTGCATTTCATACTATAAAATTCTCATCGATATGCTAATAATTTTTCCCAATGACTGGACTCGTATAGTGTACATATGTGCGTTCTTTTTACATACATATAACGAGAGTTATCAGTCTACTTTTTCTGTATCCCTAACATCTTTCATATACACATTATAAGGTCTCGTTTTAAGTTTCTTACCAGTTATTTTATGTTAATATTCTTTCCTAGCCACTTCATTTCCATTTTTCTGCCAGAATGTAAATTTCTAGCTCGCACGGTATTCAAATGAGGTAGAAAGAAGAGACTATTTGAAAGAAAGTTTTACAAGGTAGCATTAGAGAGTTTTCTACCTTGCTTGAAAGCCACATTGCTAAATGTAATTCTCTTGCGATTAATATTCTGCGGCGTTGAGTTATTTTAGCTTATTAGCCTTGTTACGCTGACCCTAGGTCAGAGCCTGCCTGTTATTCAGACTGTAAAGCCGGTAGGCTAAACTTATTTTTATTAGTTTAGTTCATTCATTACCTTTTATTTAAGCTAAAACTTTTGATTTCTGTAAACACGAGTTGGTGCCGTCTGTTAAGCTTTATTTGATTTCATAAAAGGTTCTTTAAACCCATTCTCTGTTTCTATAGTACTTACAAGACACAGCGATAATTCGTCACTTCTCTTTTAAAGTTCTTGATTTAATCTATGTTACCAAAGAACACCAAATTCTATAACATGTAATTAAAGTTTTGAGAGGTTACAAAGATTGTTAGATGATGCTGAAGCTGATGATTTACTGTGTCTACGAGAAGAACAGCGCCGCCACAGTGTCTGGCGGGTGGCGGTTGTTATAGCAACAGGGCTAGTGTATTTTAAATAGGGAAGAACCTAAGAGTTGCTTTATTGTTATTTTCTTTTTTCGCGACTATTACAGGGAAAAAGAGTTTCGTCTTCAAGACACCCCTACGGAAAACGGGTCAAGGCTCGTTTCTATGGCAACAGACAGCTGCAGACTAACTGGCGAGAGCTTTTCTTGTGATAGACAGATTGTACATTGCTGAAAATGTACAAAGATACATCAACAGTCCATCAAAATATGATGCAAAAGAAAAAAGTCTGAAGCGAAGAAAACTTGAAAAATAATTTTAAATGAATAATCAGTTGATAATAAAAAATTCCCATTATCACACTCTTCAAATAGGGCTACACATGTTGTAGATTTAAGCATTATTACTCGAATTTCCGAGTGTACAGCAAGAAAAACTATCAGTTGCAGAAGAAAATTGAAAAAGTAAATATAGATGAAAAATCAGTTACTAATGAAAATTTCCTATCATACACTGTTTTCAAGGAGGCAACAGTCACGTTTCCGAGTGTGCTGAAAGGAAAATTATCTATTAAAAAATTTCCATATAATGTTAAAAGCTGTGTACACCTTACCACTTCGTAACTTGTCTTAATTTAGTCTTTTAAGTATTTTCTTTTAAGTATTTACATTAATTTAGTCTTTTAAGTATTTTATTTAAGTATTTACATTATTTAGTTTCTTTTTAAGTATTTTCTTTAAGTATTTACATTAATTTAGTCTTTTAAGTATTTTAAGTAATTTTTAATTAGTTAAGTTTTAAGTAGTTTCTTTAAGTATTTCATTAATTTAGTCTTTTAAGTATTTTCTTTTAGTATTTACATTTAGTTTTCTTTTAGTATTTACATATTTAGTCTTTTAGTATTTTCTTTTAAGTATTACATTAATTTAGTCTTTTAAGTATTTCTTTTAGTTATTTAATTATTTTCTTTTAAGTATTTACATTATTTTAGTCTTTTAAGTATTTTCTTTAAGTATTTACATTAATTTAGTCTTTTAAGTATTTTCTTTTAAGTATTTACATTAATTTAGTCTTTTAAGTATTTTCTTTTAGTATTTACATTAATTTAGTCTTTTAAGTATTTTCTTTTAAGTATTTACATTAATTTAGTCTTTTAAGTATTTTTCTTTTAAGTATTTACATTTAGTCTTTTAGTCTTAAGTATTTACATTAATTGTCTTTTTTTAGTATTTACATTAATTAGTCTTTTAAGTATTTCTTTTAATTATTACATTAATTTAGTCTTTTAAGTATTTTCTTTTAAGTATTTACATTAATTTAGTCTTTTAAGTATTTTCTTTTAAGTATTTACATTAATTTAGTCTTTTTAGTATTTTCTGCTGTAAAGTATGTTGCTTTGATAAATATTACTCAAATTACTCGCTTAAAAAGAATTTAGTATTAAAAGGGGAAAATAATTATCACTGATACCTATCTGAGATCAAGAATAACAGTTTAAAATATACGCATCATTTTAATAGCTAAAAAGTTAACTATAATCTTAAATAACTATTTACATAAATATATATTGTTATTTTGAGTGTTTAATTTAACAACCAAATTAATAGTAATTTTATAGAATAAAAATTAAATGAGATTTTATTAATTTAAATAAACAAAATAAAAATTTAATTCAGTTCTGGAGCGAAAATAGAAGGCAGAAAATAGACCCTTCTCCCTTTTCCCTTGCAAAGCCAATTTAAAAATTCTTTCTAATACCAGAGGACGGTATCGATCGAAAGATTTATGGAATGCATCAGAAAAAGCACAAAAAAAAGCACATATTTCATCAATTAAAAGAAAAATGTTACATTGTAAGAAGCAAAAAGAAAAGTTATTCCACGTCGGAAACGAACTCATTGGAAATAAAATGCTACATTAACATTCATTTTGTAATTCTTATGAAAACAGAAGAGAGGGAAAGCAAAACATTAAAAACTTTCCATCGTAATAAATTGGGAAGAAATTCCTACTGAACACATAAAGATTGTTCTCAATTATTTCCATCAATAAAAAGAAAAATAACTTCATTAGATTTTTAGCAGCAGAGAATGGTTTCCATGACGACCCAACCATCCCAGAAAATTAAGTCAGAATAACAACTGAACCTGGCAACCGCTGACGGTATCTCATTAACAGTGGATGCCAAATTCAGAATCTAGAATTCAAAGTAAAAATCTAATTTCGCTGGCAGGAAATATGAAACCTTCTAGGAAACAGAAAAATTATTCAGAGCAGAACTATGTCCTTTGTTTCTGAATATAGCATCGCATTATAAATTGAGTGAGTGTCACTGCTTAATAATTCAATTGAGTTGGCAGTAGCAGTTATAACATTAAGATGTTACGAAGAACTAGACTAGCCTTTGATAAAGTACTAGTAATATTTCTTTAACAATTATACTTTCAGTAATAAAGTTTGAAACCTTTCTCAAAATCTGAGAAATTTGATAAATTAACTGTTGTAATGAAAGTTTGATGTAAAGGAATTGCTAGGAAAGGCAAATAGCAACTGCTTACATTTTTTTTTTTTTCATTTTAGTGAAATTCTAAAATGTAATAATTAAACCAACCGTAAAATAGTACTAAAAACTGATTTGCTCATGCTGTGTTGCTGTGATTTAATTGTATTAACCCTACCTGATCAACAGTAATATTGTTGCGTGCGTACGGGTTCGTTACGAAATGAATGCACAAGTCCGATGAAAAATGAAAACAATTTATTATTATATCAACAAAAAATGCTTAAATTTCCTCAAATTATCATGCAGTATTACAATATCTCACAGTAGTTATCTTCTAACTACTCAAATGTCCAATAGAACGTAATTCAAAACAGCTAAAGAAAGCTAATCCGCGAATTCGCTACAATCAACAAGAGCAGTTTTCTAAACAACAACAAACTAAGTAACTACAACGAACTGAGAGGTTTCCTCCTTTTATAAGATTTTTAAATCTCGTGCGAGAGTTTTCTGGTACTTTCTCGAAATCAAAAAGACATATTTATTTATTTATTTAATGTTAAATGTACGTGCTCTTGTATTTTTAATTTGCAGGCTTAGCTTTCTTCTTTTAATATTCGTCACGCGCTGCACTGCGCGGGAAATAAAACCATTTAAT